TTTTACAGAGGTCTGTGATGTGCATTTTTCAGCCCAAAAGTTTTATGCCCCTATCTCCAGAGGTCATCATACTGCTTGCATTACAAACCAGAACTTTCCTGGGGGCTGAACAATCTTTATCAAAGTCTCTGATAAGTGCCATGAAACTTCCAATTCATCATCTTCCACTACCACCTGCCATGGCTCTGCCTTGGCTTTCAGCAATAAAGATTTGCTACCTAAAAGCTCAAACTGTACCCTTTCTCTTCCAGGTACCCCTCATCAACCTTGTAGGTCCTTCCCACTAGTAAGAGAGATCTGAACTTGTGTCCGTATTTCCTTATATATTTCCTTACTACATATTTCCTTCCAGTTCAGGACTATTGGAGGCTGGTCCTTTTGACACAGCCTCTGGGTCTGACTCTATGCTAATTGTCTGGGCGGTAGCTTCTTCATCTGACCCTTGGATGACCTTCTTTGTTCTGTGACTTGTTCACTAACCTAATGTTGTGGCATCTTACCACTGCTTAGAAATCACATTGCCATGCCCCATCAACTAATCTTAGGTTGACAAGACTCTTTGATACAAAGGCTACATTGGACTTTAATTTTTCTGCCTTAATTTTGACTTGCGATTTTAACTTCTTCTATCTTTTGTGTATGCTGGGTTTCTCCAATGCCTACTCTTAAAAGCCTAAGAAACTTCCTTCTGAATGAGAGATTTTTAAGAAGCCTGGGGGCCATGGTAGCAAAAAATATGGTGGTCTCTGCCTAACTACCTACAGGCCATAGACTTCCACACTGATCGGCCATGGAATACAATCTTAGAAATTTAACATTGCATACATGCATTCCAGTTAATCTGTTTATTTTAATGCTGCAAGCCAATAACTGCAATTTTGGTGTTACTGTAGAGGATTCTTATATGGCATAAATTTCCCACTTTCTGGAGCTATACACAAAGGACAATTCCAGAGTTTGAGAATTTAGCCCCTAGGAGAATTCTGGTTTGCAGCAGAAATGGTATGATGACCTCTGGAGATAGGGGCATAAAACTTTTAAACTGAAGAATGCACATCACAGACCTCTGTAAGATCAGAACAGATAAATATGGGAGGACAGTTAAGGGACTGCTTAAAGAATTCCTCAAATAAGGCTAAAGATAACATTAGGCAAAAGCCTGCACTATCTCCTGAAGTTTGCTCAAGTTCATGTCCATTGAGTCAGTGATGCTGTCTAACCATCTCCTTTGCTAGCCACTGTGTCTCTACTGCTGCCCTGCAAATAAGTTCCTCAGTACCACCTTTCTAGATTCCAGATATGTGTGTAATATGCAACATTTGACTTTCTGACATCATTCTGTACAGTAGGCTCTATTACTATTTTAATAAGATCTGATTTCAAATTGCAATGTTTCAAAATAGTTTCTTTATAACTCTAGTTGGATGAAGGATGAATACATCAGTTAGCTGATTATTTCCTCTTCATGGAAACAGCAAAATTCTTCCCTTTTTTTTTTTTTTCACTTTCTCCAAACATATAGACCATTTTGACTATAGAAACATTCTGGAGTAAACCGTTATAAACTGTTTGTGCATGATAACAGACCTAACTGATTAACTGCTAGCTTAAATTTATTCATCGATGCAACAAGTATGAATAAGATGTGTGCATAAATGTTATTGTTCATCATGTGACTATTGTAGTATTCACAGTAGGAGAATTTTTAGAAAATTAATTGCTTAGAATTTATATTTTGGGGGAAAGAAGGTAAAACCACAAGTAGCTATAAGTTTCGGTAACTTGATTGCAGTTATCTGTATAAAATAATGTATGAGCTGTGAGAAGAGCCAGCTCATTGGAAAAGACTCTGATGCTGGGAAAGACTGAGGGGAGGAAGAGAAGGCAGCAACAGAGGATCAAATGGTTGGTCAGCATCACCGAGTCAATGGCCATGAGCTTGAGTAATCTCTGGGGGGTAGTGAAGGACAGGGAAGCCTGGTGTGCTGCAGACCATGGGGTCACAAAAAGTCAGACACAACCTAGTGAGTAAGCAGCAACAATAATGAGCTATGCTATTAAATTATAATATTAAGAAGAATCAAACACTTGTAGAAATTCAAAGATTACCTTTTGCAGTGAGCGTTTTAACAATGAAACGAATGTAAACAGTATTAATGATGTTTCCAAATATTTCATGCTATTAGACAATTTGAATCTTTAGTCACATAGATGTTGGTTCGGTAAGCTTTAAGAAATCATATCAATGAACCATGGTGCCACCTATGTGAAAACTCTAAATTTATTCTGAATGATTAAATGAGATTTGAACTTTGGACTGTGCTGTTTATCTAGCCTGATGCTTCATTCACTTTCTGACTCATGTTTTCCAAGTGTTATTTCTCCCTGTAGTAAACTATTGACCAAAAACCTATTGGACAATGCTCATTGCACCTCTTGATTATCTCACTGTTGTCTTATAATTTCAAGTTATTTTTTAATTATTAAATATTCAAAGAAGTGTTTTTTCCCCCCAGATATCGCACTCCAATTTCACCTCTGTGATTCATTTATGTTTAATTTAATTTTTTCTTCTAGTTTTATTGTGATACAATTGACATACAGCATTGTGTAAGTTTAAGAACAACATAATAATTTTACTTACACACAGCATGAAATTATTGCCCAACTAAGTTTACTGAACATCCATTATCTCCTATAGGTACAAAATTAAATAAAAAAATCTTTTCCTTGTGATGAGAACTCTGTGGATTTACTCTGTTAGCAACTTTCATATATAAAATATGGCAATGTTAATTTCATTTATCATGTAAATTACATTCTTTGTAATTATTTATCTTATCTTCTCTTTGACTGTCTTCATGAATTCCCCCCTCCCTCCACCCTCCCACACCTGGTAACACAAATCTCATCTCTTTTTCTATGAGTTTGTTTTTGAAGAATAATTGACCTACAACACTATGGTAATTCCTGTTATACAACACAGTGATTTTATATTTCTGTACGTTTCAAAATGATCACCACAATAAGTATAGTTATGATGTGTCACATTACATAGTTATTGATTCTATTTCTCACAGTATACATTTCATAGCCGTAACTCATTTATTTTACAACTGAAGTTTGTACCTCGTAATCTTCCTCACTTATTTCTTTCCTTCCCCTGACCTGGCAACCACCTATTTGATCTCCATACTTAAAACTCTGTTTCTATTTGTTGTGTTTGATTATTTGATAATTTGTTCTTTTGTTTTGTTTTGTTTTTAGATTCCACATATAAGTAAAATCATGCAGCATTTGTCTTTGTCTAATTTATTTCACTTATCACAATATTCTATAGACTCATCCATTTTGTCGAAAAGAAAGAGTCCATTTTTTTATGGCTGAGTAATGTTGCATTGTGTATATGTACCACTTCTTTATCCCTTCATCTATTGATGTGCACTTAATGCAGCTGCTATCACTTAATCCTTTAAAAAAATGTTTAACTACATCATGGGCAGGGAAAAGATACTGAAATTGTTGATGAGAATATTTATTGGAAAAAATCTTAATTGGAAATGCATTATGGCAATTTCTGTCAAATATTCAAATGTTCTTACCTTCCAACACAGAATTTCTACCTCCAAGAATTTACACTACAGGTATATACACTTACCTGCAAACAACATATGTAAAAGATTATTGTCTCTTATTTTTAGTTATAGTATTGTTTTTAAGAGCAAGATATTAGAAACAGCTATAGCATGAAATTATTTCCAAAGTATGATGATGAATAAAAGGGTAAAGTATAACCTTACATGCATAAACTGTGATCATTAGTATTTAAAAGGACAGAAGATACTATACATACATATCAGTTCAGATACACATAAGATATCTTTGGAATAATACAAAAAGATTCATAACATTGGCTGCTTTCAGGACAGAGCACTAGATGGGGCAGATGGGCTGAGAGGGAGGCTTTTTGTCATATACCTTCAAATACTTGTTGAGTATTAAATATGAGAATGTGTTGACTATTTGATAAATAGATACATATTTAAACAAAATTTCAAGTAATTTATCTTGACAGTAATTAGGAAACTAAAATAATACTTGGATACTTGAATAATTTTGAGGAAGAATGCACTGTGTATGCCTGAAAATAAGAAGAAATTCCCAACTTGTTATGTTATCTCTTTAAAGGAGAAAATTACTTGATATACATGTAAGCATTTATAAAATATTATAAAATATCTCACTATATCTTTTCCAGTTATCTTATTTTGAACATCAGCATTCTCTTTGCCAAGTCACTTTATTTTTTCCTAAGATCGATGCTGTCTTTGCATGACCTCAGAGGTTAGCTGATGGGATTTTTATAAACAAAGAAACAGAAATTTAATAAAGATTTTTTTCTTAATAGCTGTTGAATCTGGTTTACAAATGCTGTACTTTATGGTTTGGAGATCAAAACAATAAAGAGAAACATGTTTGAATATTAAGCTCAGGGGTTCTTTATCTTTTGCAATATACTTTTCAGGGACAATTCACACAAGAATGAAAAAATGTGTTATATTACAAACAATCATAGGTGAATCTAAAAATAATATTCTTTGGAAAATTTTTGTTTAAAAACTTTAAAACTTTCTCTAGTGATGACTAAGAGACTGAGGTAAAAAATGCAGTGAAGAATTTTTAAAAACAATCATGAAATTAGAGTGAATAAAACAATATTAATAATTACTTTATTATTTTCCATGTTTTAAATATGCATAAATAGTACAATTAGTTTAATATTATCAGTAGACATTTGGCTACCTCTCTTGCATCCCTAAGTATTTATCTGTTCAAATTGACTGAAAAAACATTTCATGATCATCTTATATTTGGTAGGGTAAGATACCTTGAACTTTCCTAAATAAATTTATTTTCAACATTTTTCAAATCTCAAAGTGAGATTGATTCCTTTTGCTTTGTGCTTTTCTAACTATACATCTTTTAATGGACTGTTTCAGATTCGGACAACTTTTATTCCACGATACTGTAAAGGATCTTGTACCTGCATAGATGGCATAAAAACAGGTAAAATTGCCTTTGAATCACATTATGTTAGATGCATTACAACCCAAGGAGTAGACATAATCCAACACTAAAATCATTTTAATAAAAGCTTAGGTCTCTTTGAGATTTTATTTCCTGCAGTGTCAGGGAGACTACAGAATAAAAGCCTTTCTGTTTCATTAGTAAAGACCACTGTATTATCACAGAGTTTGCAAATTATCCACAGCTACTTCAAATAAATACTCTCTACAGTGCAGCGCTCTTAAAATATTTTGGGTAGTTGAAACAAATCAAATGAACTCATGCACCCATTGAAAAAAGTATGCATGAAAGTTGAAAACACAAACACTACTGTGGCTTATGGAATTTGTAGTTTAATGTAAACAGGGTGGCTGAAATGCTAATCTTTTATTTATTTAAAACAACGAGAGGAAGGTCATGAAAATAATTCACCATACTGATTCTGGCATGTAAGGGAAAAGTGAAGACCCTGTCAGTAAAGAAAGGAATGTAAAGACAAAATTAGTTTGCTGGATTCAGCTTGTGTTGTTTACTGTCATTTTGAAGGTGAGATGGCTCTTTTTCATGAAAGCTAAAATGCTGTTTGTACGCTTTGTTTTATAAGTGATGCTTATACAGAGGATAAGGATTTAATATAATCTTATGCCTAAAATTAATATTCATGATGGGTTAAAACCACAAATCTTATGGTGTTTTTAAAGGACACATTTTCTTATATATTGTAAGATCATCGTTTACATGTAAATAAAAATTAAATTAAGTCATTCATTAATTTAATTAGGAATTTCCAACAAAATTTCCCTATTACTTTGGTGGAATTCTTGTACTTAAGGCTTTCAAGTGAAGGTCACATGGGCAAATCTTGTTTTGTCAGGTGGATGGTCTACGATATACAGAGCCTTGATAGAAACCAGCTGCAATGAGCTGACACTGGTTCAGGCGGAAAACTCAGACAGTGCAAACAAATACTATATCTTGGCTCAAAATACTTGCCACATCTGCCAACAATTAGTTCTATATCAGCCCTAGAAAGGGGCAATGAAATACAGGATCGGATTTCAGAGAAAGCAAATAAACAAGGGGCCCTGCATCATTAGTCATCAAATGGTTGTAGAGGTACCCAATACCTAGACTAAAGCTCAGGCTGTCAGTCCTATAGTGTGGCAGATTGTGTTAAGAGAGTTGCAGGGACATGGCAAGTTGATAGCCTAATCAGACCATTGACTTATGGGTGCCACCCAACAACTGTTTATTATTCTATTAATAGATAGCAGAGACCATCCGGAGAGGTTAGAGCACTAACTTTCAGAAATGGAAGATTTAAAAAGCATTCAGATGTCATCTCCTGAAATTTCTGGTCAAGATTTATGACACAGTTCAAGATGGCAATAGATAAGAGGAAAAAAAAAAAGATTTTTTTTCTGCTGTACTACTTTCTCCCAGAAATTCACTTTTCTAATTCTCCTTTTAGCCTTCTTTCAATTCTTCAAAGCAATGGGTCTATTCAGGGTTTTTAACTTTTTTGACTCTAAAATGTGACTTTCTAGACATTTTATTCCTGGTATCATGGTTCAATTTTTGGCTTTTTGTGTTTACTTTCTAACCCAAGAATTATTAGTTTCCCCTGTATCATACCTGGCTTCCTGGTCTCGCAGTCTGCTGAGATGGTCATAATAAAGTGATCTGAGTTAGAAATACAGAAATACTCTATGCCCCTTTAAGTTGGCTATCACTGTTGGCTGTGCATGTCTCAGCACATTGATGGTCAGATACTCTCCTTCCAACCAGAACTGGTGACTTTCTCCTCTTCTTCCCTAAGATGGTGGATACCTGTCTTAGGGAAATGAACTGCTGGATGAAATGGTTCTGTCCAGGGCAATGGGTTTTTCCCACAGAATTTCTCCCATCACTCTGTTCTTTCCAGTAAACATTTCTCTCCCCTTTTCCCTGACTTTTTGTCCATCAGTTTTTCTGGAGAGTTAATCAGCAGATTTACTGCTAAATCTATTCTCTCTCTCGGTTCTTTTTTTCTTTAGCTATGTATTAGATATGTCAGAAATTGAAGGACAAGATACAGGAGATAGATATATATATATATTTATAAATATCTATATATGTATGTAAAAAGAGAGTCATATGTTGCAGAACATTATCTGCATAATGTAGGTAATTGAATTGAGTGGGGGAAAAGATTTATTAAACAAATACTTCTTTTAGATCCAATCGACGTTTATACAAGAACATTATTTTAAATATTCATTAGTAATAAAGCATAAAAGTTTGGCTATAGAGTCTCCTCAATATAAAAAGAAGATGGACTTTTCTATTCCTATATTCCACTTGAAAGAATAATTTAATTAAAAGGCAAAGCCGGCAGGAACTTTATAATCTGCATGCAATGCAGGATATTATATAATGACCTTCATTTAAAACCCAAATCATTAAAACTAGTAAGTCTAACTGGTGACAAGGGAGATTTCAACATCAGGCCCAACAGCTTAAAAATATGAATAAAAATCATAGCTTAAATGAATCAGTCCATTGAGAACTTATCGCAAAATAAAATGAGAGAAGAAAAAAGTTACCTAGGCAATGAATCCTTCTGCTGCACTATTTTATCTTTTGACATGTGCTTCTCTTTTCTTCTTCTTTTTTTTCCCCCAGAATTTCCTCCTCTGTATAAAATAAACCCAAATCTATTTCCTAGGAAAAAATTATTTTAGACAATTTGGATGCACCAGAGAAAATAATCTTTAGAAGTGGCTAAATCACTTCTTATCCACCCCAGTCCCATTTGTCACATAATCTCCAGAGAAGTGAGCATTTGAAATAAAGTGGAGGAGCTGCAGCCCCATAGAGGAGCAGAGAGAATTGACAACTCACTAATAACAATTTCTGGACATTTTAAAGGAATAAAACACTAGTTAGAAGCTATGAGTTTCTTTTCTGTAACACATATCTTTGTTTTGGCATTGACTTCCTCATATGATATGATTGTTTAACACAGATAGAATTAGGTCAACATTTAAATGGAAACAAAAATAGCTTTTTATTGTTGAAATTGTTTCTAAACCTTGGAGCAAACAAGGTAACCAAGTGAAATTTTTTTTGCAATTATATAATAGTGATACTTCACCAAATTCTCTTTTCTTACTTTTTTTGCACAATTTTTGTATCTGTTCTTTGTCTGTTTACTGTCTCATGTGAGCCATTAACCCAATTTCCCTCTGTCTCCTCCAGTCCTGAGTTCCCAGGTGGCAAACAATACCAACTTTTCTTCCTCATGATGATTTCCAGAAGTGAACTAAGGAAATCCAGAACATACTGCCTTCTTAGGAAACATGATGCCAGAGTTACTAGAAAAAAGATGAAAAGCAAGTCAAAGTGATTATTTGATGTCATGTAAAAAAAGTTGTCTTCAGTTTATTACAACCTTTAACAATTGAATATGGCCTCACTCAAAAGCTGAATCTGTTAAATCAATAGAAGGAAGAATAAAATATGTCCTCAACCACTGAATGTATTTATAAGCAATAACCAGTTTGATTAGATTTTAGCATAGATTTACTAGCTACTCTTGTTACCCAGTAATTTAGTCATGTAATTAGTCAAGTTAATTGTTCAAACAGTTTTGACTAAATAAATCAATTTATAGATATACTGGATATGTGAAAGTAATGTAGTAAAGGCTAGTGAGTAACCTTAGAAAGAAAAGCAAGACAATAGATCCCTTATCTAGGATAGAATGAGTTGACTTAATCAGATCATTGTTCTGTCATTTCATTACTGAAAATAGATTTAGTTATAATAGAAAAATAGTTATGAGGTTAGGAGTCTACAGACCGAGCTGTGTCCTTGGTCATCCTCTTGACTTGGCCATGTTAGACAAAGGATGTGTGTCGTTTCTGGTCCTCATCTTCTCTGTTGTAAAAGTATTATTCTTGTTAGATCATCTTATTCTCACTATATTTGGATATGATGCTAGGTCTGGAATATGTGTCCCAAAGGACAATACAAATATGAAGCTAGATTTTAAGTCACTAAATTTCAATGAATATGTATTATTAATTAATGGTATTGTTATTAGCATTTCATAATGCAGCTAAAACTGGAATATGATTATAACTAAGTGAAATCTGAAGTGATTACCAAACGCACATTTGCTACTACACAGTACATTAATGGAGTTTCTCTTGTTAAAACTAATCCCCATAAAGTATTTTTAATAATGGCCTGGATTTTCAATGACCCTGTTTTACAGCAAAATAATTGAAATTTAAATTAAGCTTATAACAATAATCTTAGGAGATATATATAACAACAATCTATATATCTTTGTTTTACTTGGCATAAAATTAAGCTTTCTTTTAAAAAAAATTAAGTTTCATAGTATATTAAAACATATACAAATGAAACTTTGTTACTTAAGAAATGGGGTGAAATATGTTGTTTAGTAGGTAAATTTAAGATCCTTTTTGGAAAGTAGTTTTCGAATATTGTGTATTTAATTTGGCAGAATAAAAGATAATGAATTTAGTTAGATGTAGTGTTGAATAAATAGAACTGCCATATGACCCAGCAATCCCACTTCTGGGCATACACACCAAGGAAACCAGATCTGAAAGAGACACGTGCACCCCAGTGTTCATCGCAGCACTGTTTATAATAGCCAGGACATGGAAGCAACCCAGATGCCCATCAGCAGACGAATGGATGAGGAAGCTGTGGTACATATACACCATGAATAAAGGCTAAAATATCTCAAATGTTTAAGGAGTTCTATAGTGCAGACTATTCTGATAGTTAACTATGTGAAGACTGGCAAAAATTTATCAGACATCTTGTACTGATTTATTGCATCATTCACGAATTCAACAAATATTTAGTGACAAAACTGTAAGGTGTATATATTAGATAAAGCTTGGAGCTTGGAGATTAATATTCTAGTTTTGTCATTTATTAATTTAACCCAGTAATTTCACTGACCTCACTTTTCTCTT